CCCCCCCCCCAACGCCTGCAAATTTGGGGGCGATCGGTGAGATTTTGGGTTTTCAAGCTGCTGCCGGGGCAGGTGGGGGCTTTGCTGCCGATGTCAGCGTGGCTGAAAGCCAAAGGAAAAACTCCGCGCTGTGGGTGGGGGGTCGGTCCGTGGGACGTGGAACCCTTGGAGATGCCTACAGGGCTCGGGGGTCACCAGCTGAAGGGTCAGGAGATGCAACTCCAAGGCCCGAGGGTGCTAATTAGCAGTAATGACTCCCATCAGCCCCACCTAGGAGCAGCTGATGACCCAAGCCCGGCCCAGGTTGCTCCACCTCGTTGTAGGAGCTGCGATCAAGGTTGGGCTGCAGCCCACGGCTCGTCCAGAGCTGCCGACTCAATGCTGGGCTTGACCCCAGATCCACCCGATGATGCGGACCCTTCCTCCCCTTCAAACAACACCCAACAGGCGTTGAGGAGAGAATTTTTATTGAAATAACATCTTTTTGTAAACACAGGTGACTGTATTGCGACACCTGCGGGAAGGTGGGTCGAGATGCTGTTGTGGCTTCACTGGAAGAGTCTTGGGACGCTGCGGCGGCACGATGCGACCCAGAGAGTCTTGGGCATCGACGGTGTTTGCTTGTGGACAGCAGCGTGGATTTTGCCCATCTTGGTCACATCTGTCTGTCGGGCACGGGCCGGGAGGATCTGCAGGGGGAAGCAAGAAGGGAGAAGAGGCTCCTCTGCGCTGGGGACACGCGGAGGCGAAGGAGGTTCCTTCAGGTGGAGTTGGGCCATCAGCCCCACGTGGAACCAGGGACGGATCCTCTCCCCACTCAACGGGGCCAGCGGGAAGGTGAAGAGCAAGTGTTGGTTGTCAGCGTTGAAGAAGGCTACCTCCTGTCCCTGGAAGTCCAGGTAAACCCTGATCCTCTGAGGCGTCTGGGTGAGGGTGAGAGCTGTGTGGGTTGGGGAGGTCAAAGCCCAGTACCTGTCCCCGGAGTGGAAAAGAGCCAAGATCCCATCTTGAGGACCTGGGTCGATCGGACCCTTCCTCTTCACAGACTCTTTAGCCACCCCCATTGCCCAGACCCCTCCTTCCTCCATCCCCACATCCACCTCCCAGAAGTGTCTCCCCGAGACAAATCTCTCCTGGCCCAGGACACAGGCGTAGCTGGCGTATCTCTCGGGGTTATCCGGCATGGATTGCTGCGTGTTTCCACGCCGTACGCTCTTCCCACCCGCTGAGAGGATGAGGTAGGGGTACGCCGTGTCCTCATTCAGCGTGATGTACTCTGCGGGGGGAGGAGGAGAGCTCAGCTGAAGACCCCCCAACTCCTTTGGGGGTCTCCTAAGGTTGGTTACCCTCGGAGAAATGTTTTGGGGGACCTCAAGTGCTCAGGGCTGCCAGAGCTTGGTCCTGCCTCCCACCACCTCTAGCGTGGTCCTGGATGATGCCTCCTCTAGAAGGCCACGTTGGCCAAGTGCCAGCTGGGATGTGGCTGCCCCGTTTTGGGAGCTAAGGGACCTGGCGGTGTAGGTGTGGGCTGCTCTCTGCCGGTGCAGAGAACGGACTTAAACTCAATTAATTTAGGCGGAGGAGCCTTATTAAGCAGCCGGGTCTACCTCCTGGGTAGGAACCAAGAGCATCACCCTGGGTGGAGAGGCAAGGAGTTTCCCCATCTTCCCAGCAGAGTTTGGCTGTGAGCGTCCCAGCTCTGTCCCCTTCTCTAACACTGGCTTCCATGCTGGGCGTCAAGACCTCGGCTCTTTAGAAACAGCCCCCAAAATTGCTTGTTTAGTGGGCAGAGGAAGCAGAAAGCCCCAGAGCAGTTGGGGTGTGGAGGTTCAGCCCTCGACTTCTCCATCCCCCCCTCCAGCAGCACAGGGGAAGAGACCCCCGGAGAGGCAAAGCGCGAGACCCAGGTACCTTCTTCCACTGGGATGACAGCATTTCTCCACCCTGAAACCAAAGAGATGTGATCGCGAGAGGGTCCTCTGCCATGGGGAGGGGACGCGGGGGGTGATTTGGGGTGGTGGTCCCCAGGGCTTGCAGACTGGTCCCAGGCGTGCTTTGGTTCAATATACTCAAATTTAATTTATTTTATGACACGGATGTGTCAAAATGGGAACCTGAGCATCCTTTCTGGTCCACTTCATCATTTTTTTAGACCCTGGGAGTGTTTTGCGATTGGTGTCGGTGGGGCCTCGGAAATAAGCCTGAGCAAGACCCATCCCACTCCTGAAAAAACACGCGCCATTTGGAAGACCACGGGGTGGTGGGGGGGTAAGAGCAAGGATCAAACTTACGCAGTTCTGCAGCGTGTTTCTCTGAAAAAGAAAAGAAAAATAAATGTTACTAGTAAAAGCATGTGCTTTTGGGGGTTGAAACCTCACACCTCGATCCCTCTGTAGGCACTAAACCGAAGGGCGTGTTCAGACGTCCTTTGACGGTGCTAGACCTCCAAAATCCACCCAAATGGGGGAAGCAGATAAGAGGTAAAACTGGCCTGAAGGAGGGATTTTGGGGCACCTCAATGGGCTGGAAGGAGTTTGTGGGGTTGGTGCCACCAAGAAGTTGGGCTCAACCTCATCGGAAGCTGGATGAAGAATGTTGGGGGAAGGTCTTCTCCTCTGTCCCAGGCTTTTAGAGGGTGGAAGAAGCAAAGCAACACTTATGTATTGCCATGTCACGATCCCCTGGAAGGGAAGAAAAAACATAAATAAAAGCAGGAAGAAACACATGGGATTGCTGGAAAATGTTAATGTGGTGCTGGCAGCTTGTCCAGGCACCCGAGGACCTTTTTGCTCTTTTTCCTGCCCAGGACTTTGGAAGCTGAGTTAAAGGAGGGGTGGGTTGATGTTGGAACGCAATGCAGGTTTTTGGGGAGAAAAACCCTGCTAAATTGATTGCCCTAAATGGGATTTTGGTGGGTGGCGTGCCCTTTTTCTAAGAGCAAAAGGCTTCCTTGGTCCTTCTCGTGCGTGACGCTTTTTGTTAGCTGTGTTGCCTTCAAAGCTAGTGATTTTTAATTTGGGAAAGAAGAAAATTTGGGGATTTATTGCTTTCTCAGATGGCTTTTGGGGAGAAATATACAAATCTGAATTTTATTCCTCTGAAAACAAGGAAGCTGCTTCTTATTAATCCAAAATTTTAGTCCTCCAAAACCCAGGAAGCTTATTTTTTATTATTCCAAAATTTTAGCACTCCAAACCCAAGCTCTCCACGAAAGCTATACCGAAAAATATAGTTAAACTACAACAAATGTGTGTGCTATAGACGGGCTTCGTAAACCGCAGCCCATCTCCTCAGAGGTTTATTATATGAAAATAAAGAGATTTGGTCTTCCCTAAGGTCGGTTACTCGAGTTGGCCAACTGGGATGAAGTCATGCACGTTATTTGGGCCCCAATCTTCCCACTTCCTCACTGCTGGTTTATGAACTCCCATGATGAAGCCGAGCATCTGTCTGCAGCTCTTATTTTCCCTCAGAGACAAAAAAACCCCACGTTACTTACGGATTTCGGCATTGCGTTTCTCTGAAAGGAAAAGCAGAAATAAGTGTAAGAGGAAGTTTCCTTTCTCACAGGAAAATTGTCAGCAGCCTGGGGTATGGAGAACGGTGTAGAAGCTCAGCTTCAATAACATAACTGGCAGAGCTTGGTTTAAAAAAGGGGAAAAAGCAGGAAGAAAAAAATAGGGATTTTCCAATTCTGTGGGGGTTTTGGTGTGCTTTCAGAATTTAAATGCAATCTTGTCAATCCTTTTCCACTCCTTGTAATTCTTTCAAATTGCTTTTTGGTGTGAAATTACTCGGCGAATGCCGCTGTTTTGGAAGCAAGTTTAGGAGATGCACACATGCTAGACGCGACCCTCCTTCGCTACCAAAAAAATTTACTATTTTAAAAGGGGGAAAAAAGCATCTCTTACCAAGTTCTATGGCGTGTTGGGCTGTAAGAAAGAACAGAGAAGGTCATGTGGGTTAAAGGAAGTTTTCTCCTGCACCTATGTCATGGGAGGGTGACCCGTGCTGGAGGCGTTAGCTGAAGACCGGGTATTTTTTGGCTTGGTTGATGCTGAAGGGGGTTTCGGTGTGAAAGGGGATGTTTGCTCACGTTGGAGCTCTTCTTCCTTTGCATCCCACCCTCACGGTTTGCTTTAAAGGTTTTGATGGTCAACCCGGTCAAGGTCATGAGCTATGGGAGATGGAGACTATGCTTCCGGTCCCTAAAAAGTTCTGGTTTTGGAATATTTCAAGGGGATAGAGCTCTAGCGAGTCTCCAATGTCTGGGGGCAGGTGGTGCTCCTTGGAGCAGGTCTGCATCAATTCAGTGGGGTCTGGATTGCCCAGATGCCCTCGTGCCCGCTTGGGTGCCCAGACGCCCTCTTGCTCTATCCTGACCTCACCTCGTAGCCGGTAAGACAAAAAAAGAGAAGATGACCAGGGAAGGTAAGCAGACAGCCAGGGTCGCGAACAAAGCTGCCATCCAGGGAGAGTCCTTTGGGAAAATGGGGTCTGGAATAGAAAAAATTCCCCAAATTGCGTTAATCTGGGATGCAATTACAGGTATAAGTTGTGTGTAGGAGTGAATGTGGCTATACATAAACACATGGGGGTGCTATGCTCTTATATAAAAGTAGTTTATTAACGTGAGCCTGTTGGAAATTCAAAACTGGAAAGAAATCCCCACAAAAATATTCTAAAACATTTTTGCATTTAATGTTCCGGGATGGGAATACGTAGAAAACCAGTCTCCTCTGAGCATCTTTATTGAAATATTTAGACCTGAGGTTGCTTTTTAACAGAAAAGTTTAGAATTTTAATAGAAAATCCCTGCTTTGCGATGGTTCTTAAGAAAACTACGCTGAAACCAACTCTCTGCTAAAACCCCAGTTCTGAATATCCCTGACTTGGTCCCTGAGGGACCAGAAACCTGTTCCTCCTCCATCGCACACTTGTGATGCACGGAGCGGCACAGCTGAAGGTACCCAACAGACCCCCCCACACCCAGAAGCCTCCTCAGATGCAGCCAACAACCATCGGGTGCATAGAATTAGGGGAAGAAAACCCTCATTTTCCGGGTATGACTTCCAAAACTTTAATTCTGTTGGTAAATCACCTGATATAGAAACGGTCAAGTCCTTCTCCTGGGAAGCCGTGTGTTCCTGACGGAACAGGACACATTTTGTTTTGCATTTCTTTGAATGACGATGGACTTCTCCACTTCAAAGAAGCCGTCCTGGTCTTGGGAGCTGGATTCGGTGAAGGACGGGAGCTGCTGGCCCTGGAAATCTCTCCACAGCATCTCAGGCTTCGGGTACCAGCCAGATGCTCGACATCCCACTCGGATTCTCCCGTCTTGGTAATCCTCCACGGAGAGGAGGGGGCTGGAACCTGAAACTGGGACCAAAAAAAAAAAAAGAAAAAAAACCCCCATCAGCCAAACTGAGTGCCCATCCTGGAGAAGACCTTCTCAAAGCTTTTTCCACTTGCAGCCGCAAAGGTAGGGCAGGACTGGTGAGAGGCTCATGGAAAACATCTGAGCTTGGAGTGGAATTGATGTTATTTATTCCTATTTTCCTCCTTCCTCAAATAAACCCCAAGGTTGCGTGAACTTTCGGTTTTCGGGGACAGCCTGAGCCTGACTTATTTACCCTCTGTGATGTCCTCAGAGTCACAGGACAACCGTGAAATCATGCAACCCATCTGGCACGGCCTCTCCTGAAGAGAAGGACGGGCCAAATGGAAGGCCCCGGGATGAAGCCATCTCCACCCAGGTGGAAGCTCATGCCCCCTGCAGACTAAGCAAGGTGAGACCTGGTGGGTTTAGGGAGGAAAGTGCTGCCTTTGGGACTCGGGAGATGCTTGGCCAACTGCAAGGTCAACGTCCTCCAGCTGGAAAACGGGTGGTGCCTGTGTTCACATCTGCTTGTGTCCCACCTTGGTACAATTTGGAGGCTGCACCCTTCATAGGACAAGGTGCCCAAGGTTGTATCTTTGGGTTCAGCCATGTCATCTCCTGCTCCTTCCATGTGATCTCCTGTGATGCAAGCCAGCTAGAGATGAAGCCAGGGCTGTGGTCTGAGGTGGTTGACCTGGGGGAACCAGGAGGTTTCTCCTGGGTTAGAGGATGGCGTTGCTGTCTTTGTGAGACTTTAGGGGTTTGGTAATGGGACAGTCGACATTCTGCAGGGACCTGAGGCCGTGCAGGTCAGGAGATGCTCATGAGGAGCTGGGCTATCAAGCAGAGGAAAATCAAGAGGGGTTTCTGAGTTGTAGTGGGCAAATGGGTCATGCTAGAGGTCCATCTTGTAGGACAACCCCAACTCCCCCCTTTTTTTTTTTACCCACTACGTTCAGCTCCAGCGTGGCTTCTTCGTAAAAATCCCCATCTTTGATGAGACGCTGGTACCATCCCTCATCGCTCAGCCTGGTCCTGAGGATCCTCAAGGAAGTGTTCCCAACAGAGATGCCCTCTTTTAAAAACTCTGTCCTCTCCTGGTATTCGGGCATCTGGGAGGAGTAGTGGTCCTGCCCGCTGTGGTAGAGGTGGACATAGACGGAGAAGTGGGTCTGAAACCACCTCACCTCCATGTTCTCGGCGTTCAGCCTGGGGGAGAGGTGGCAGGGCAGCATGACGTCTTCTCCCATAACGGCAACGATGGGGTGGTCGGGTCGCAGGACTCTGAACCGGGCTGCAAAAGGGCGGCAGGTGAGAAGAAGACACACCTGAGAAAATGCATGGGCACGAGTGGTCCTGATCCTACATCGCCTGTGCAAATAATTGTATTGTTGTTTTTTTTAAAGGATTCTGGTTGGGTTTGCGGCACGTCCGGAAGCAATCACCGACCAAGCATGAAAGAGCATCGTGATAGGTGGAAGGACCCAGCGTACAGCTGCCGCCACAGGTGGATCTGGAATGTACCCCAAGAAGATGAGGGGAAGCGTGCCGAGATGGGAATGCTCTTGTCAGATGAAGAAGCCAAATGATGGAGGAGAAGGTACGGAGGGAGAAAGGGCGGATTTGGGGGGCACAGGAGTGCTGGAAGAGGGAGCTTGGCATTTTTTTAGACCGTCTAGGACTGAGCTAGCTCTTGACCCTCACCCATGGGGATCCCCAAACTCTCACCTCCTGGTAGGACACTTCTCCCCCTCAAATCACCAGAATGTTGCTATTTATCCCACCCAGCTTTAAAAAACCACCTTTTTGCATCGTATTAACAAACCGGTGTGGGTGTGGGTGTGTGTGAGAATATATAACAATGGATGGACGTCATGGAAGAAGCAGAAGCTCTGGAGATCCTTATTGCAGCCCAGCTGACGGACGTGAAAGCCAAAGAAGAAAATCACAACGCAAGCCGGGACAGAGGTGATGCGAGGGAGGCGGGAGCGTGAGGAAACCAACATCTTCCCATCCAACTTCACTGGAGAAAGATGAACGGGTGGAGGGAAAAAAAGAAAAATCAATTAAATTAATGTAAGGTTGAGGGTGGTGCAGAGAACATCCCTTTGAGGAGGATTTTCTAGGTGAAGCCTGATCAGGAAAAGCTGGAGAACTAGGCAACAGTCAAAAAACCCAAACCCACCCCAAACCGTAGGTTGGATGGGACCACTGGGATCTCTGGACCAAGCCCTGCTCACAGTGGGGCCAGGGATGGAGACCCCCCACCTCACCCCGGACCTTGTCCCACCTACCCAAGATAAAAAAAAACTTTTAAAAAAAATCCCATTTTGGTGTCCCACAATTCCCGTGGCCCTGGCTCAGACCAGGCACTGCTGTCACAACTCTGCAAGGGCTCAGGGCTTCCTGCAAAGCGGGGAGGAAAGGAGGGAAAAAACGGGTGAGTTTGGGGTGGGGGGAGTTGATTTTTTTCCAATTTGTGGTGCTCCCTCAACTGTAGGGGGAAATCTGCAAGTTAAAATGATGGTTTTGGGGGCAAAAATAGAGGGAAAGCTGTCCACTGTCCCGCACAGCTCTGGGGGTGCGGTGACCCCAGATGATGCTGTCACGTAGGGGTCACGTTTTTGGGGGGATGCGACCTGGGGGGGGTTATGACACATGCCTGATGGCATGGGACAGGGTTTAACAGGCTGCAGTCTTAAAAAAAAACAATAAAAGACCCCATCAACCCCCACCTCCCAAAAAAACCCAACAGCCATCCCAGCTTCATCCCCACTCCTGGGGGGGGTCCCCCCTAATCGCCCCATTGGGGGCTGTGCCCCTGGGACCCCATCCGCCCCCCGACCCCCCCAGCCCCCTGCCCTACCGGTCCTGCCTGCCGGGATATGGGCAGCATCGCCGGGGGGGCTGCGATGGTCCGGTCCTGTGTCGTCCCCCCCAAGAGCCAAGGGGAGCTCACCAAGACAACCACACTCAAAATCGAAACCCTCGTCCGCTTTATGCTTTATGGTTTCGGAGAAGGCAGGGTGGAGCGGAACTTGGTGGGCACGTCATGCAAAGATCAAGTCTACGAGTTAATCGTTCTCCATGGTGCAAAGGTCAAAGCAAAAACATTCCTTCAGGTCAGACGTTCTCCATCTGTCTGTCCATCCTGGCTCCCGGCGTATTGGAGAGCTGAGTGGGCGTTGGTAGAGCCTGCTGCACGCCAGCCTCTGGGCGTGGAAGCGAAAAAAAAAAAAGAAGAAGGAAAAAAAAAATTATGTATATATTTATATATGTACTATATATTTCATATAGTACATATAAATATATTTTTATATATTTTGCTATGTATTTATTTACGTATTTTATACATATATACACAATTTTTTTCCTTTCTGCTTCCAGAAATGTGAGCTGTTGCATTTACAAAGAAAAAGCCAAGCAGGTATTTTTTTTTTAAATGCACATTTTTAATGCACATTATTATTATTCTTCCAGGCGTATCGCACACACCGAGAAGCATTTGCTCCCCTCCTAGTGCAGGTATTGCCTTTGCAAGAGTCGGGTTTTTTGGGCATCTCCCAGGCTGCTTTCCATGCAAAAAAAAGGGGGGAAAGAGCTTTTTTAGGAGGGCTGAGTCCTTCGGATCAGCTGCAAGGAGCAACACTTCTAATTTCGCCCGATGGCTTTGCTGTCCACACCGCAGCCGCTGTACCTCTAATGCGTGGTACGTCTGGGATGTGTGAAGGAGTTGGAGCCAGAACCAGAAATAAAACCTTTCACTGAACTTTTCCTTGTCTTTTTTTCACCAGAAATAAACCTTTTTTTGCACCTTTCCCCGTCTTTTTTTTTCCCAAAGTGCCATCTTTTGTTTTAATGAAGCAGAGCCTGAATAGAAACAGAAGCATGGAACCTGCTTGGATATTTTATCCCATTTTACTCCTTCCCCTTTTATACCCCTGGAAAGGGCAGTTGCCAGACATGGACACAATTGGAGTTTTCTGAGTAGCGGAGCAAAACAAGGTAAAAAAAACCCACAAAAGAGCAGAAGAGAAAAATGCACCTGGGGAGAGATTTTCTTTCGTTAACAAGGAACGGTGCTCGTCCTGACGGGGTGCAAGTCCCTTGGCCGATGGTGCCCTTGATGCCGCCATCAGCAGCATCACCCTCACCTCACCTGCGCCAGGCACAGCTCAGCTTTGGTTTTATTTACAGTTGTTAAAAATGCACAGCTCTAAACTTGTTTATTTATTTATTTTTTTAAACTTTTTTTAACTTCTTTTTTTAAACTTATTTCTTTAAAACTTTTTAAAAACTTAAAAAAACCCTTAAAACTAAAAAAATAAAACTTAAAAAAAAATTTTAATTTTTTTTTTTAAATCAGAATAAAATTCTAAACTGAGAGATAGGTGTTTTCCCACCATTCCCCTCGGAGCAGGAGACCACCTCAGGTCCTTTGCCCTGAGAAGATGCAGCACCCAGCAGTGACGTCCTCTCCAAGTGCTCAACAGCCACCTGACTCCTCTCCTCTTTCCCAAAACTGTGCAGCAACCAGGAGAGAAGGAGCTGCCCCATCGATTGCAGCAGAAACGCTCGGTTTTGCTGCAAAACCCCAGGTTTTTTCCTAATTATGATGGGCCAGGATGGCCGAGCATGGCTCCAACCCATGAACCCGCTCTGGTCCATCACTCCCGGGGAAGGTTGGCTTGGTCACCACGAAGCTCAGCTCCATCCCAGGGTGGCTTCAAAGCTTTTTCTACCCCTCACTAAACCTGTGAGAATTGCTCAAATTCTTTGGAGAAGGAAGCTCTTCCGGGGGGGGGGGGGGGGGGGGGG